ATATATATATATTTAAAGCGCTTGAGGGAAGTATATAAATTTTTATAGAAATTTTCAAAAATCCATTTTTTTCCAACGTTCAGACATCGCGGATGAAAGCTCCAGATTGATCGATGAATGACCAGATTGGTTGTTAAAATTGAGATTGACGGTTTCGGGACTTCCCGTAGGCGCGTTGCGGTACATCGCGAAGCGCGTATCGCGTCGGCCGACTGATCGGCAAGCGAACACACGTCCGTAATCGCCGCGAGATGCATCGCGCTCGCGATGCGTCGCGATTGCGGGCGGCGAGAGAATATAAAAAAAAGTTGGCAAGAGGACATAACGAAATACAAAAGGATAGAAACGGGCGCGAACGGGGTTGGAACGGTCGAGTTGCTCGCGCAACCACCGTCGACGAAGCCGAGCACACAATTTACCGATCGGTACTCTCCATTATTCGTGTTTACAGCTGCAGCCCGCGAATCAACCTGGTCCATCCCCGACGCGCATCCTATCCCCTGCCCCTATGCACTGCTGCATACCATCGGCGCATCTCTGATTCCCCCTGTTACCCCGCACCAAGCCCCGTTATTTGCTTCGGTCAAATTCAGTTGCAGTCCCCGCGGTGGTTTTGAATTAACCATCAATTTTGGGCGCGTCTCTTCCGTTCAAAACCGTGTCTATCAGCGATCGTTCGCTTCAAGAATGTCATAAATAAATAGAATCTGAAAGAGAGAAGGAAGAAAAGGAAAAGAGAGAAAAGACGTACTTATTAATTTATCACGCCGACGAGGCGAATTCTAATCGGAACTATATTAACCAGTCAAAAGTCATAGGACAACACAAACAAGTTCTCTTTTTTTTTTTTTTTGGGTTAACGAACGAAAGAATGCAATTTTTGTCGGAAGCAGCAGAGAGTTCATAGTTGGAAATTGGAAGCCGAAAATATGTCGGGCAGTCACGCGAAATTTAATATCCCATAAAACGCGTTCACCTTCTGGCTGCATCCCGCGAGAGTATTTTTGCCACGACTGCATCGTGCTCCTTTTTGCATTTACAAATTATCCGCAAGTGCGCCGGACACCGGACCGGCCGCATCAATATTGAACGCGTAACGTTAACCACAGCTTCGTGTTACGGGACAGAGCAGATGCATTTACGTGTAACTGCGTGGCTCGCGCATCTGCGTGTCATTCCAACAAAGTTAATCGCCTGAAAGAGTTTTCACAATTCAGGAATTTTTTAAAATATATATGTTTTAGAAGTTTTGTAATTTTTACACACATACATACATAATATATATTTTTTTTTTTTAATTTTATAATCCCAAAAAGGGGAAGAAAATATCTCCATTTATAGAAAAATAAAAAAAAAATAGGAATTTACAAAAAAAGATTTTTATAATTAAAATAAAATCACACACACAAATATAAAAATCTCAATATATTGTAGAATAAAATAAAATTGATTTTAATTAACAATATCATGAATCTAAAATTTACGGATTGTTTTTGTAAAATTAGTATATCTTCTTTAATTTTATAAAATTTAATAATGTATACGCGACAAATAGTTTGATTTACATTCAAGAATTGACTAACTTCAATGAAAAATCGCCTCTTCATTCATAAATTAAAATATATATATATA